GAAGAAGCAAAGTTCCGTTTGGATAAATCACGTGATTTTGAGGAAGATTTTGTCCTGATCTCTTCCAATCTATGTCTACTGAACCCTCAGCTATACAATTAAACTGAGCACTGCTGTAAACAGGTACGACAACTTTCCCTGGAGGAGTCAGGGTAAATTTGAGTTCGTCAATCACCACCACTTGAGCGACAGCGGAATCCTGACCAAGGTGATTCTTGACCGCGCATTCGTAAGTCCCACCGTCTGCTTTTGCGATATTAACTATGTTCAAGTTACCAGCAACAACCTTAGTCTTCTCTTTTGGCAATTGACTAAACGCTTTACGCCATGTGACCGTTGGTGTCGGCTGACCAGAAGCTTTGCAGACTAGGCTCAGGTTCTGTCCTTCTTCAATGATGACAGATAATGGCTTCTGAGAGATCACAGCGCCAACTAAGCAATTCAACGACAACAAAACAAAGTATGAGAAGAGATTTTAATCAAGAACTTGACCTATTACTTGCGGAAAATTTGAATAATATAAGATTTTTAATCTTTTATAATTTAGACAGTTAATGTATATTTTAGACTTTTATTTTTTTAGAGGACCCTCCTTAAAACCACCTCTAGTTGATTGTAGGCCTCCTCTTAAAATATTAATTTATTATTATTGTTATTATTATAATTATTATTATTATTATTATTATTATTATTTATCAGGACAATTTGTATTCTAAGTGCTCAGTTCCATTGTTTTATAAGATTCAGTTTCTACCAAGAGAGCCATTGCAGAAAATCATTCTATGGGAAATTCACAATCGGGATATCCTGTGGAAGCTGACACCGACGAAAGATTACCCCTTGAAACATTGAAGTAATTATAAATAATAAAATGACTAAAAACAACGCTATTCACCTTGAACAGTTAAAGTGACCGATGACGTCACTTCTCCAAGAATATTTCTTGCTACACAAGTGTACTTTCCCTCATCTTGTGACGTCACATCAGTTATCATCAGTCCACCACGCGACGGTACAACTCGCTTGTCCGCGAGAAGATTGGAATTTTGTTTCAGCCACGTGACTTTAGGCTCTGGGTTTCCTTCAGCTTCAC